GCCTCCACGGAACATCCTCCCAACTTGGCCACTGCGGCCGCCACCTCCTCAGGCGTTACCGAGTCGTCCAGTCCTGCCACTCTCAGTTCGGAGCACTTCGTGGGCCTAGACACTCGTATCTCCTCCTCCTTGTAAATTGCCCTCAGCTTATCGGCGAGGGCATCGGCCTTCTCCTCGCTCGCCACTCCCGGTACCTCAATAATAGTGGCACCTGTGAGGGCTCTGCGGAATCGGACGGCCTCAATGCCTAATTCGGCAATGTCCACCCGTCTCTTTGCCTCCGTGATGGCCTTTTCGTAGGTAGCGCCCTTCTCACTGCCCGCCGGCTGTATTGACAGCACTACAGCTGCGGACTTTGGTGGGCGCGCTTTCGGCACGGCGGCTTGAGCCGCCTTTTTCTGGCCCCTGATGGGCGCCTTCTTCGCATCCTTCCCATTCGTCTTGCCTCGTTTCGCCACTGTGCTCCAGCCCTCGTTCATTGAGGTCGGGGCGGGTGGTAGAGGACGAGGGACGGGTGGGGCAGTCTCTTTCGGGGGTGCCTTCGAAGCTTTCCCCTTCTTCTGCTTCTTCCTCTTGCCTTTCTTGGCTTCTTCGGTCTTTGGGTTGGAAGAGACCGAAAGCGGCTGGTCTGCGACCCTCTCGGTCGTGCTCCCTCTTGCCGCTTGCTTTGTCGTCGCCGGGTTTTCNAGGGTCAGACACAGAAAATAGATTATCTTTGACCAGGCGGCGTATTCACGTAACAAAACTTCAACGACATGCAAGCGATTTGTCACTTTTCGTATTCACGTGTTAGTCACCCGATTTTGTTTCGATTTCGTTTTTATCCGTATTCAATTGTTGCCTCCGCGGTGTTCACCTATTACCTATTTTGAAGTTTGGTTCAAGTGATAAACGTCAAATGACAAATCACTGAGTTGCGATCCTATTGAGTAATCGTTCTACCGAAACGACACGTGAATTTAAGACCGTTTTTCAATAGGACGACTTCTAAACGTCAACGACATTTTGACTGTTTCAAAATACGTGAACTATGCCACATCGCAATAAAAACAAATGTTTCTAGTGTTGATAGGTAATGTTTTCCAACGTCAAAATGATAAAAAATTCAACATTCAAGCATTTTATGTTCATTTTTGCGATTTTAACCCGGTAGTAATTAGGAGTCATAAAACATTTTTAAACTACACTTTCATCACATTATAATTCCATTTTTGTTTCAGCTCAATACTGCGGCGGATCGTTACCCCAATGAAATTTAAAATTCCAATTAAAATTTGTAAGCGTTTCTATTTAAATTATTTTTCCCAGTTGATTCATTGATTACTGTATTAAACCGTGGATGTTAATTATTATTAATGATTAAACGAACTTAAAAAGTGAAGTTCTATCATAATTATGCGAGGGCTTTGTCCGAAGAGATTAGAAATAAGAACTATGTAGTATCACGTACGGTGATGCCAGTTTACGCACTGTTAGTTGAGGATATTTTTTTTTTTTTTTGTGGGTATCTCAGTTTACCTACTACATCCCNGCATAATTCATTGATGAATCATTTTGTTAATGAATTACTTGGAAACAAACTATTTGCTTTATCATGATGTCAATAAAACGATTAATCTAGATTTGTCTTTCCTTTTGTCCTCTATTGTTTTGTACACTTTATCAAAATACAGTGTGAAGACAGCTTATCGTTTACTTTTATTTTAATATTTATTGATATCAATAAAAATAATATTTAAGTCTTAAAAATTGTGTCCGTAAAATCTTCATAAAAACCAGTCCCTAGAGGGTTCCGAATTGGTTGTCACCTCTAAAATATTTTACCATTTTCTTGGCAAACGTGCAAAATTCACAAAAGTCTAAGAAACAAATCTTTGGGACAGCTTGAAAGAAAGAGTGGGTATGAAAATGACAATTTATTATATATTTTGTATAATACATTGTTTTAGAATTATATTGGTTTGTTCCTACAGTCAATACCAGATCAGACCATATTTTTTTGTTGAAAAGTAGCACCCTATTGCAACTACATGCACTTGGTGTTATCATGGTGCCAATCTAGCCAATGATTATCTTCTACAGATTAGTTCCAAATTTCCTACGAGTTACCTATAATCATGTCCAAAATCGACACTACACGGTACGACGGCATTGGCCACCTAGACATAACTCACGTATGTCCAAGGTTTGTTCAAGATCGATCGATACATACAACGTTTTTGTCTCTTATAAAGGCTGATTTATACATAGGTATTACCTAAGTAGATAAGTTAACAAAATTTTAACTTAATTTTTCGACTAAATTGGTGGGCAGGGCTTGTCACTTGACACGTTCTGACAAGCAGTTTCATATAGATAAACAAGAGCTTGACTACTTAAATACGTTTAGACATAGACTTAAAATTAGGTTAAAATTTTGTTAACTACTTAACGTGTAAATCAGCCTTAAGACTATGGTAATACAACTAGTGATGGACATGGCATAGTGAGTGATAGAGTCTAGTATCCTAATCACAATCAGGCAACATCCCTTATGGGAAATGTTTAAATTTTCCTTATAACTTATAGAATTTCCTACATACCATATTACTACACACAGTATTATTTAGCTACACACTTCTTCAAGTATATCATGTTGGTTTACGCCTACTTTAATCTACACACAAACGCCATCTAGCGCCAAAACTTTCGCAAAGGGGAGAATGGGATAAGAGGCTTTCCAAGCGATAAGTATCCGATGGAGGTTGAAAGAATACGGAGGCAGCCAGGGAAAATTGGAGGCGCCGTAAACGAAACATTTTTGAACAACATTTTTTGTTAATAACTTTGAGGAGTGCATTGCAGATTTAAAAATATTCAGAAATCGGTCGATATCTTTCCATTTCCAATACTAAAATCTTATACAGGGTGTTCGGTAAATGGTTGGTAAGCTATTGTCGGCTTGATAATACCATTTACCTAAGACTCTGTATAATGAAAATAAGGGCAAAGGCAATGTTTTGAACATTCTAACTCTGTCTACATCCTCGATATTAACTTGACAGATCGATATTTTAATGTATAAGTAGATAATTTAATTGCAAGGGACAGTTTCAGTAAATTGCTATCACTGTTTACAAGATTGTTGAATTATACTGGAATGCATCATTAGTAGTCATCATCAGTATTCTGTATTGCAAAGAGCGTGGGAATAGCAAATTCCTATTCTCTACATGGTGCACGCGAGACATTGCACCGAAAGCTTTTCAACGTCCAGTGGACAAGTATACTCGTATTTTGAGAGATTTTACTATTTTAAGCAATATCTAAGCTACGACAACAGTAAGGTGGAATGGTATTCTGTAAAAAAAGTTGCACAGAAATGTGTTTTAATACTGCTCACGGGACTATTCCCACGGCTGCAACTCCTGTGTAGCCATGATCTACAGCTTGACCGCCAATAAAAATCCAACCAGTGAAGGTCAAGTTTGTCCCGGGGGAAATTTAAACTGTCATTGGACCCGCTACGAAATTAATCAGAAGAACATAGGAGGAATACGAAGTTAATTTAACACGTAGGCTGCCATGACAGTCACCGGTGACTGACAAACATGCAACCTATTCGGGCCATGTCAGTCACTGGAGCCTGACACTGAAGCATCTAAATCAAACGACCGCAGTAGGCCGCCTGGCACGTTTAATGCGTTACTTCCTATTTTAAATGACTGACGTGGCCCCCAACAAAGTATGTTCAGCATGGCCTGCAACTCTTGTACCTAAATAAAAATTAACACAGGTTTGAATGAAAATTTTAGTAAAAACACGACAAATATTTGAAATTCCTAATAAAATCACAAGTTTACGATATATTTCGGAATAAATTATTAAGCATAATTATTAAAATTATTATTTGTGTAAAAAAATTAAACATTACAGACAAAAATTAGGCTGATTAGGGCTTTGAAGAGAGTAAGTTATAACTTGCTGTCTTTCTCGACTTTACACGACCGAAATTTGACAGTTGACCGACAGCAACCGGACAGAGCGATAGTATTCACGAGGGCTAAAGCGAGGAAAGCGATGCGACACGGTAGTTCCCGCCAAAACGCAGAAACGTGATTTTGTTGTGCCTGACAAAATGCTTGACATGGCGCTGTGACTGAAATTTATACCATTCGGGCCGCGTCAGGCACGGGTGGCTGACAGTTTTTTTTATGGGTATAATATGTCAATATAAATAGTAAAAAAATATTTTTTAACAATAACTATTCATTTCAAGCCATTACACATCGATTAGCAAAAAATTCAATTTTGGCGAATTAGTAAATTTACTTTGGCAGTCAACGTGTTAAGGTTCGACTTTCCTCCAGTGTAAAGCGGATGACAGGTGACAATCAAAGGTCAATCAATACCTCAGATCATACAATACCTACAGCTTGTTAAAAGAGACCAAAGGTGGAATTGTGTAAAGCAATCGTTATCATATGACAGTTCATAACGTACGATAAAGTCAGTTAAACAAAGCGTTTGACAGAATAATCGTACGTTATGAACTGTCAAATGATAACGATTGCTTTACACCATTCCACCTCTGGACCGACAATCGGCATTTTTTGCTTTAAAACTGATTTGGTTAATAATAAACGATGACAACCTAACAGTATGGAACATTGTGGAATGTACAATTTGTAAATAAATCATTGACTAATAGTTAACAATAAAAAAAATTACGGGCACTACTGAGATTAAGTTGTTTCATAATATTATGACTAACAGGGGAAGGAACTAATTACTTTTTTAACACAATGTTTTTGTTAAAACTGTTAATTGGGATGTCACTTTGCCACGTCATGGTGTAATTTACTTAACTGAGGATAAGGAAAATTCTAAACAGAAAACCTTGTACATTCGACTCTATTATCCTTAAAATAAGACATATGTTTTGTTCGCAGCATGCTTGATGAATCAATGAATTAGCGATTCCAGTGGAAAGAGGAAAAAGTAAGGAACTGTATGCAAAACTTCTAGTTAGTTGGTAGAGTATTGTGATCGTGACAACAAGTGTAACATGACAAAATTAATAGTGCTAATCATAGTTACTTTTTGGGTTTATTTTATAAGAAGCGAAGGTAAGCAGAACATAATTTTACTTTTATTTTGTAATTAAATTAATTTAACATATATTTTTAGGTCAAAATAATGTAAAGGTGGCTCTGTTTTAGACCTTCTTCTGGAATCATTAAACTAATTCAAATTCAAACAGCTACGATTTGATCAATATAAAAATACTAATTTGACTTTCGCTTAATTAATGTTTTACAGAATGTGCTAGTAAAAACAATGGTAAAGTGCTAATTAATTTGTATTTTAAATTTAATTTTACAAAAACACAAAGTTCTGCCGAAACCAAAAAATACGGACAGATTGATCGATTGCGTTCCGTTTTATAACTAGGGGTCAAATCTGTAAAACAATATCGGTTCTATCAGCATAATTAGTATTAGGGTTATAGCTGACTCTATTACTAACACCTGCAATCCTGGTTGAGTGAGAGAGACGATTAGAACTTTAAAATCGAAATCGGTTTTCAAAGTTCGTCCCGTGTTTTTAGATGCACGTTTTTCGCCGGCATTGTATTCCCATTTCTCGTTTGAAGCATCGAATATTTATGAGTGATACTAATTTGTATTCAATCTTTGATCTCTTTTGTTCAGCCGAGATTAATAATACATCCAGAAAAAAACAAACGACAAAATAAATGTTTTAACTTTTTGAAAGTCGGCTGTGGTTCCACAAATAAATTGAGTAATGGCAAAAATGGCGTGTAAAATTGCATTTGTTTTGTTTCTGTATTCAAAATACAATTTATATTAGATGGTATTCTTGCGAAATAAGCTTTTACTTACTTAAAAGTCTCTCATAATATTGATTTTATATCTAACAAGATATAAGAATACCATCTAATATAAATTGAATTTTCGAATATCAATTCGAAAGGAATAATATTTTAGTTAGGCTAAAAGCTTGGTCATTACATTTCTATTTTCTTTATTTGGAAACCTTATAAACATAAAACATCGTTTTAATAGGCGGGTAAAATCTATCTTTTAGGTTATGAGTGTGTTGTAGCGTAGGTAGGTATGTTTATTTTCAACAACTTACCTACACAATTTTAATGACCAATTATGACCAATAATGGTCATAATTGGTCATTAAAAACAATATTAAAATAATTATTACTTTGTGTATTTGCTTTTTAAAAGATTTCTTGTTCCTGAAAGCGATAACGGCACGCCCCGATTAATGCTGAGTGGGGGCCATTTGACAGCAGGGCATAATTATTTTTTTATAATATTTAATTTTATTTGTAATTTATTATTGTCGCTCTTTTGTCAAATAAAGCATTTATTATAAAACTATCAATTAAAACCTTCCTACATTAGGTTAAACCGCTCATAATAATTATCGCAATATTCTAGTGGTGAAGCGATCATCATGCCCGGCGAACGAGATGCAAGTCGAATGCGCGCACTGCGGTCCTAAACGATGCGAGGAGCTAGGCGAGCCGGTGCCGTGTGCGGGTGGCACCGCGCTGTGCCGGCCGGAATGCGTCTGCATCGACGGCTCCGTCCGGGCCGGGAACGGCTCGTGTATAGTCAAGACCGAATGCCGTAAGTTTTGTCTGCATTATTTCTGTAATTTTTCCAGCGGGGTCAGCATCTACTGCCGATTCTAGTGGCTCGTTGTATCACAATCATAAAAGGTAGTTAATTCCTAAAACATCAAACACTGGGTCATCTTATGCAGTCTGTGTGTGTTGTCCGTTGTCAATTATACGGACGAAATATCTACTGATGTAATGGAAAAGACCGTGAAATGACGTCACAATATTTCCGTGCTGTGCCGCGCACTGCGGTCCTAAACGGTGCGAGGAAAAACTAGGCGAGACTAGGCGAGCCGGTGCCGTGTGCGGGTGGCACCGCGCTGTGCCGGCCGGAATGCGTCTGCATCGACGGCTCCGTCCGAGCCGAGAACGGCTCGTGTATAGTCAAGACCGAATGCCGTAAGTTTTTATCTGTTGTGGTAACAAACTTAACACAAACATAGGTCGTTTATGCCTAAAAATGTGTCAGCCTTTTTATACAGTCTAATATTATGTATTGTCAACTGTACTGGTTTAATAGAGAAGACCGTGTCACACTCCTAGTAGAGGAGAGGGAACAAAATAAAGAAAAGATAGACGATAACACGGTTGTTAGCTTTAGAGCCATGACAACCGTGAAATGACTTCGCAATATTTCCGCACTGTACCGGCCGGAATGCATCGATGAAGACGGCTCAGTCCGGGCCTAGAACGGCACGTGCATACCCAAGACGGAATGCCGTGAGGTTTGCTGCATGATTAATTACTTTACAGGATATTAAATTAAATAATACCCAGCCTACACGTGGACGGCATCGGCTGTTGACTAGATGCCTAGGCTCACTGGTTTGGTCTCCGTCGTCCGGTGGACTGCACCGAGCCTAAAAGTTAGCTTAGATGGAGGGAAAAATACCTTATTTACGAAGAGTCTTAGTCCTCTTTCTCTGTTTGACTGTGATCTGTATCTTTATGTTATTGATCTAAGCAGAGCTGTCTGTTTCTAAAAAAAGCAGTAAGAGGATAACTTAACTATGTTGCCCATCAACTAATCAGTTATTGCCCAAGGCCCGAAATCGTAACATGAAACCAATTAGATATGTCAGTCAAAACTGTACCTCTCCAAAATGCACGTTCATCTTTTGCCAATCCCAGGAACTTTGCTTTAGGAGTAGCGGGCGATTCAACAAGCCAATTACGCAGTATCTACCAATCTATTCTTAGGCTGGGTTGCACCATCTTACTTTAACTGAGACAAACGTCAAATNCGAAGATTTCTATATCTTCTTCCCTGGAGGTAAACGTCAATGTCATCTCTTCTCTAAATATAATGAGACCGCTCGGACACCGAGCCCACAGCGTGGTAGGGGTGGGGTTGCCCGCTCTTTTGTTTTTTAATACTACTACGCTGAATATTGTGTGCGGATTGGGTTGTCGTACAGGGGTACTACATGGTAAAATAAATCTCTTCGGCGAAAACAGGATAATTTAGATCGAACTTCACTTGGTAAGTTCGTTTGATCATTCAATTACTGTTTGGGTATTGTTAAATATGAAAGAAAATATCTGACGATAAAAATAAATATCTAGAAATTCTTCTGGCTGAAGAGACTTTTTATTATAAGCATTATAAGTGTAGTTGTCAAAGCCAATTAGTATTAATTGGAGGACACTCTAGTCTAGGGTACTTAATATTTCCAGTACCAAGTACCAACTTAGTTTATGAATAAAATTGGTATTGTCGTAGAAAACCCGATCGCTTACAAAACTCTCAAGCCCTTACGTACACGAGACTAATGGAAAAATAAACAAGTAAATAACAAGCCCACACAACGTCTTCCCCCAATAGGTGGACCGACGATCTGGTGAAGGTCGCGGGAGTACCTGGATGCGGTCAGTGCAGGACCGGTTGTAATGGAAATCCTTGGGGGATGCCTTTGTCCAGCATTGGACGACATTTGGCTGAGACGAACGAAAGAAATAAATAAGATCACTATTATTTTGTCAAAAATATATCTACACTAGCTTTCCGCCCGGAACCTACCCCGCGTGGAATTTTGTGTCACAGATAAACTTTATCGCGCGCGTTCCTGTTTCAAAAACCGGGATAAAAACTACCCTATGTCTCTTCCCGGGACTTAACCTATCTCTATGCCAAATTTCAACAAAATCGGTTCAGTGGTTTAGGTGTGAAAGCAAGACAGACAGACAGAGTTACTTTCGCATTTATAATATTAGTATAAAAACCCACACCACCAGCGAAACTTCCTCACCCTGCAGCACGACAGGGCATCACATTTTCTTCGGCNCGTCAAATATCTGTCAAACTCCATACAAAAAACACCGGTTATCGTCATAGTTACCGTCAAATTTGGGTGGTGCAACTCAGCCTTACTATTGAAAGACAGTGAGTTTTACCAGTAAAACTGCAAATCGAGACCTAAACTAAACTCCAGAGGTCAACACTCATGGAACTGGCGTTCCTAGAAGGCAGATCGGTGCCAATTTAACATGATCGATTTATGGTTACCTCTACAACTCAGGAGTTTGTACCCGTGAGTTAGACGTTAACATTTCACTTAATAGTTCTTCGAAGCCTATTAGAGCATTTGTCACATTGTGCACTGGATGGATTTTGCTGTCTGCGGTCAGGTCAAATTTAACGCAGCTCCCCGCACCTGTCAGTTTGCGTTTTTTGTTCGTGCCTGCACTACCAGATTAGGTATACTTACCTATCAATACAAAATGTATAGAGACCGATTATGTTGTTCATACATGGTACGGGTTGCTTTACTTTGACCTGACCTCTGACCCCAAAACGCTGGAAGCTGGAAACATTGAATTTTCGGATTCAGTTTGTAACCATTGGATATAGAGCTCGTGAAGCACTTTTAGGGTCAGTAACCAGTTTTTGGACATCTTGTATAGTTTAGAAACAATCGAGTGTGATCAATTATAGTTTGCACCCTATATTAAAGCTTTTAAAAATACTTAATGTCCTTCTTCCAGCCAGCTGCGGCGGTGACAGAAACGCCACCTCCGGCTGTGGGAACCACTGCGGCAACTCCTGCTCAGACTACAAGGAAGTCAACAAGACCTGCCTGACTGGTTGCCGGTACAACAGCTGTGACTGCAGAAAAGGATATGTCTACCATGACAGCCTGAAGAAATGCGTGCTGCCTGTTGATTGTTGTAAGTACATAATCCGTACAATAATATAATACTTTTGTGTTTAAAGTGGTGCAATAGATGGCGATCAGACGTAAACGCATTGATCGCCATCGCCATCGCGCACGCGGGCTGCACGCGTTGGTATGTTATGGTCGAACCTTTATATGTATGTCACACTTTTTTTGTTTGAGACTTGGGTAAAAACATAAGAACTACCTACCTATCTACATTTTTTTACATGATTAGCTACTTTTTAATTTAGGCTGACGACAAAAACATTGTTTTATTTTTACAACTTCAAAAGTAACTCATAAAATTATGGGTACTTTAACGTTTTCTAAAAATAAGCTAAGATCATTTATGGATGAAAGAAAAATATCTAAAATTGCTTTTTCCTTTTTCTAGGAAGAGACTGAACACAAGAAGACGATTCCCAGAAATTTGGACCTTAAATGGAAATATCAAAGAATGTCAACGTTGTTTCTTATAAGGTATCTTAATTTTATAAAAACACAATAGCTTTTTTATTTAAATTTGTTGGTGCGTGGCGTGTCAGTGATTTATTTTTGTACGAGGTTTGTCCTTAAGTTATAATATCAGCCAAAGTCACTGCTGGACAGAGCATGGTATCCTTACCAGCTTAGGAGCTACAGTTTAGTAGTTAATTATTATCATTAAGAATTGTGTAGCTAACACCATCAACAAAACATTGTTTTTCAAGACGAAGTGTTTACTTTAAAGAAGAAGTCTCGTTTTCAATTTGCTTTAAACTTTTAGTAGCTTTAAAATCAGTAAGTCAATACTTGCTCAATTTAGTTTAATAACTAGTGAAATGACATTAAAGGTCATGGTAGAGTCCCATTCTGGCAGCAGTATCAAAAAAGATCAGCTAAAACAAACAAAGTAATAATAAAAAACAATGTTAGAAACGATGCAGATAGTTGTAGTATAAAGTAAAATGTATGTGCAATACTTTCAGACTGTATTTTTAAGAATAAATGCTATAAAAATAAAATGTTTCATTCCTGTGGGCTAATACAAAGTCTTCATAAGTTCATAGCACCCCATAAACTTACATTGTCGGGCGTTAACTAAATCAGTTTTCTTAATCAGAACTGTAAAGGTGGATTCTTTTGTCTGCGAACTTGGTTAAGAAAATCTTCCAGAAAAAACAAATCAGAGAAATGCACGACGCACCACCAAAGAATACTAGTGTAGGTGATTAAATTAATCGATGTCGATACAAAAATAAATTTGGAAAAAAACTTTAGTAAAAAAAGTAGGTAGGTATTATTGTGTGAAGTTGAAACAACTAAAAACGTAGTGTTTCGTGCCCTTCATAAAATATTGATCATACATAATGGGAAAAATAAATAACCCAAAAGGTAAAATGACTCTGGATTGCAGTTTACTTTCAGTAATTGTAATTCAGTAAATTGGAACACACAATAATGATAATCTTGAATGGCGTTTTTGAATGCATGTTGTGACGAACGTAATTATTAGTTGTTGCTTGACTTACTCTTACTATTGATAAGATTAATGATGCACCATTTCCACATCACTATCCTGCTGATAGCAAAAAGTCCGCAAATAGTGATGAAGACGAAATATAAGACAAACTAGCCAGAACAAACACTGGCCAAGTCAATTACAGAACAGAATAACATTTTTCCTAACCAATTATGTAGTTCGGAACAACGTTTGATGGCGACTCGATTGGTGGACTAATAAGACAAATTGGAATGAGACTGAGTTGGGATTGCGGATTCTGTCGGTTTTATTTTGCACTACCTGTGAAACTTGTATGCGACTCGTACAGTCGGCGTCAAAAGTTGACAACACACAACCTTATTCCAATTATAACAAAGAAGACTTATTGCCTGCTTTAGGTGTCACGTACTATTTAATTTTGTCGCTGACTGTACGTGGAAATGCTTTTTCGAAATAGGACCTAGTTTAAAACTTCCAGATACACCTATCAATCAAAATATTTCATTTGCGGTAGGGTGAAGCTAGGTAAGTCTCAGAATCTACATACAAATTAATTCAGCCAGCCAAACTTTGTACTTGACAAAATATTTTATAGTTTTTGTAACCACTCATGAATTTTGGTAATAAACAAACATGCATATAAACTGTATTATTAAACTTTACGGCTCCTAAATTATAAAATTACCTACACTTTGTTAACCATTAAAATCATAGTCAAAGTCTACAAGAGGTGATATAGGTATGTTAAAGCCTTGGAGGAGGCCTTTGTCCAGCAGTGGACGTCATTAGGCTGAGACGAACGAACGAAAGCCTTGATAAACAAGAACCAAGTAAAGATTACAAACTCTTAAACTTTTTACATACAAACAGACAGCCTGAAAATGTTCTGCTGTAGTTCCAGCAAGTATCAAAGTTTTCTATTTTCAGCTGTAAAATAGTTCTATTTAAAGATTCTGCGCTGGAATAAAAACGGGTGCAAAAACTAAACGAATTTAAATGAAACTCCGCTTGTTTATTTAGGATTGGCATTAAAACTTTGCTTTTTGTCCTGTTTAAATATTCCCTTAGGCTTAGCTATTACTTACTATGATTTACTCTACAAGAGCTCGATATTTACTGCCTAAGATCGTATTTTACAGTTAAGTTAAACACCATTTACAAACAAAAAAGGTCTTTTAAATATAATATTAACTTGGCCTCAAACTAATAAGTAGAGCTTTAAATCCATCTTGATAATTATGAAAATGATAGGTACTAAAGTAGGTACCTACTGTCAGGCCCAGAACAGACTGGAATGAATCTGCAACCTCTAGTTACAGTTTCATTTGAGTTTCTACCATAGAGATTTAATCTCACTTAATCTCACGGAGGTCGGTTCGTATCTCTGTGAAATCACAAAATCCCGCTATTTTCCTTTTTGCGTTTTGCACTTCTTTTTTTACTTTTATTTATTTACAAACATGTTTTCTTGCCCCGTATAAAGTATATATTTTCTGTCCTCGAACCCTGACATCCCCATATTTTACTTTTTTTTGTACCGACTAACACTGAGTCTTCAACCTAATATGTATTCGACTTAGGTTTTGACTATAGTTTCTAATTATTCTAAGAGAGACCGCTCATGACGCGACCAATGCAATGCGTTTCAAACCGGTTTCAAAAAGCTTGGAGCTGTCAGTTGGGTTTTGCTGTGTTTTTCCCGGTGCAGCGGTCTCCAGTGATTCCCGGAGATTATTTTTATAATTCATGCTTAACTTATTAAATGCACAGAATAATAGCCGGGAATCACAAAAGACCGGTGTTTAAAGGTAGCCGTCTTCTTTATTTTACTTTATATAGATATGAGAGCCAAATGTTATCCTCATTCACAGATTGCATAATTTTATCCATTCACTTAACGGTCATAACAATCAAAACCACAGAGATTTTCCCAACGACACAAAAATATGCAATTGTTATTTTAATACTTGCACATAAGGAAGTAATGAACAAAAAGTATTTCGTAATCAAGTCTTAGTCGTAAGATTTTCCCAGTAAAGCTAAAAGTTGTGTGAATCATTAGAAGATTCTAGATGGAAACAAAATATTAATTTGGCATAGTAGACTGTGATCATACATATTGGCCTGCCATTTAATATGAAGGCTGGCTAAGTAATCTCTATGAAACTTTACATTCTTTATTCCAATAGTCCATTAAGTTAAGCAATGTAGAGACGGGGCCTAAAATCTTAGTTGTTTGGTGTTAACATAGGGGACACTTAAAAATTAGGGATTGATGGTGAAAACGGGCATGAGTCTCACACAATTTTAACATCTCCCTTTGTGCGCAATCCGAATCTCATCTAAGAGTTGAGAGCAGGCAGCAGTTTAAGTAAGTAGACAGGCTACCTGTGAAATAAAAAACTCATAAAAACTAATATACTCATTTATTTCTGTAAATAGGCTTAAAAAAAGCACTTTTACACGTCCCAGTGCTCAGGACAATAAATGGGCCAGTGCTGAGAAGAAGCAGCGCAAGAAACTCAGTCACTATTGTCAGCCTCTTTTTCAAAGGTTTACAGGCTTTAAAATGTACAAAGTTATAAATATTTATGCGAGCTAGGCAGTAACGCATCCCAAACATTTTTATCTTTTAAATAATCAACGACTTTATGGTAGCCCTTTTTCACTAAGGTACTTTTAATATGTTATGTAGCGTAGGAAAAAATACATCACTTACTAAGTTCGCACCTATCAAGTTGAAAAGAGTAGTTTTAGTTTTTATCGACTCAAGATAAATGTGGGTATCTGCATTTGAACGCCGTAACAAAAAGTTCGGGGAATCCCGGCGGCGCGAGATTGATTTATAGCTCCAATGGACGGGAACTATAGTTTCCTGTTGGCGGATAACTATGTTAACGTGGGTTATGTAATTATTTCCTTGTTAGGCAGAAAATGGTCAGAGGAATGTTTTTGCACGCTTCGCTAATGATCAGTGATTGTATTTTGTTTTGGTATCATTACGAAGTAGTTAACTGCCCGGCAATTTGCTTTAAAATGTAGTATTCTGTATTCTTTTTCTTCTCAGTCGCAAAGTAAAATGAAACTTCATCATATTGATAGGATTTCCAGACCTAGAAAAAGGTTATCTAATGCCAAAAATACTCAGAAAAAACGGAAAAAATATAAATAAAAGTAGGGGAGGTCGCATGTGGCCAACTTTTAGGCATTATGCGACATAATACGATCACAATATCTAATTCTTTCTGTTGTCGAGATATTTGCATCGGAACAATTTACCCCCGACACTTTCAGCCCCGCTCTCCCCTACATTTTGATTATGTTAGTTTTTAAAAGTATTTGCAAGGTAAACCCCCCAATTTCTTGGGGTGTACCGGACTGTTTAGTTTTCAAAGGACATTGGTTAGTAGTACTTACAAGTTTACAAGACAAACCCAAGTAAGTTTACGAATTAGAGCAAAGTTACGAATTTAGCGAACTTCTACACTGGCATTGCTGTATTCTACGACGTAGTCCATTTAGAGCACCCGTCCAAATAGCACCCGCACGAATAGCACCTGTAGGCCTAGGATGGGACGCAGTGATAAGCTTTTATCGCGCCATTTTATCGATATTTCGCGATAGGCCCATACGTTTGTCATCTAAAATCATCGATACAATTTTCCTATCCAATCCTAGCCCGGCTGGCCTAGTCCACGAAGAGCACCTATCGATATTCGTGCAGGTGCTATTTGGGCGGGTGCTCTAAGTGGACTACGTCGACTTTACGAGTGTAGTGTGAAATTACAATGCTCGCAGCGGAGGTAGACAGAGAAATATATCAATCCAAAGTATTTATGCCTTATTTATGCGAAAACTTGAACAATTCGAGTGCTTGCAAATTTGATTCGTCAACAAGGCGACATTAAAATACCCATTTTATGCTTCGCAGTTAAAATTTTCAGTTATTTACGATGAAACTTTAATAATTTAAGAGTTTGTGGAAATAAATCAGACGAAATAGCATTTTTTGGTATTGATAATTTCATTATAACTAATGTCAGTAGTTATTTTGAAGCTAAATAATATTAGTCATTGTTACGTTAATACTTAAGTTCCTTTTATAACTTGATATAGGTAGTTCGTTTCATCCACGAAGACGCACTCTATCAATTTTTGGTCGAGGGAATCGCGGGGTGCGGGGAGTTTGATCCGAGCAATCCGAGCGTCATTATTGTAGTGTGCGTGTGCATGGATGATTTAGCGTGTACAGATAACACTCAAACATTAGCGGAAGAATGGTGGGGTGCGTCTTCATGGTTCAAACGATCTATCTAATACATAATCAAACGAGTGTAAATCCCACTTGACTTTGATTCTGCTCATAGAAACATCGTGTTTTATTTCTATTTTAAGTACAAGCTAAAAGCTAATATTTAATGTAATTTTCTAGATAAAGAATAATAATCATCCACTAAGGCACAATTAGAGATAGAGCACAGAATGATAATGGGAAAGTAATGTAAATATAACAGCGGCCGCAGTTATTTGCTATTAACTTGACTTCCCCTCTCAACACTGCATTTCTAGAACCTCTAGTTTGTTGAAATAATATTTTTATGAATATTCCCTTGTTACAGAGTATTTTTGTGTTATAACAAAAACATTACGTTAATTTTTGTTAGAATAAAATTCAAAAATTTAAAGATGATAATACACTCGTACCTAGGTAAAGTACCTAAGTAAAGTTAAATTATTTCAATTTCTGTCAATAAAAATAAAAAAATAGACCTGTTCTTTAGTTATTCAGTTTAAGTTCTTATTTGTTATTGTGCGTCACGTGCCTATCAGAAAATGTCTCCTCTTTTGGTATAAAAGACAAAAAAACATAATTAACTAGTATCTCAGCATTGTGTCCTACTCCTAAACTACACAGGAGGTTTAAACAGTGGGTTTGTACTAACTACTTCAAGAAACGGAATTTTCAACATGGTTACAGTTAGAAGCATTTCCATGTAGAAAAAAATGTTGTTGCTTATGATGTCAGCAATCTAGTCCCGCGAGGTTGCTGGTATTTTACAAATGACCCTGTATAAGGATAGTTCGTTCGTTTCAGCCGAATGACGTCCACTGCTGGACTAAAGGCCTCCCCCCAGAAATGAGATCTGCAGGCGAACCAAAGTGACTGATATAGCCCGCAGAATCGCTATAATCAAGTGGCAGTGGGTGGGGCACATAGCTCGCATAGAGAAAAGTTGTCGAGTGGCGACCACGAGCCGTAAGACGTATTGTGGGCAGGCCTCCCACTAGGTGGACCGACTATCTGGTGAAGGTCGTGGGAGGTGCCTGTGGAAATCCTTGCGTGAGGCCTTTGTCCAGCAGTGGACGTATAAAGATAGAAAGAAATCAATTTAATAATTAGGTATGTCTACTGCATGTGACTCAGTTGTACCTAAGCCCTTAACAACGCTTGATTAAATCCAGAGCTCTTCAATAGAAAGCAATTTAGGCAGAATTTAGAGAAATACTTTCACGAAAACTGTACAATTCACACCATAATTGAATCTGACCACTAAATCTCGAAAATGAAGCTGCTTTAACAACTATTCACGGATATAGGGTAGTAATAATGAATTAGCTATTTTAGACCTTCGATTGATTCATTAATTAGTCATGCCTATACTTTATTAACTTACTTAGATTCATATAAAATGTATCATTTACCTGAAAATGAGACAAAGACATTGATTTTATATTAATTTTATAATACAAAGTAGAAAATTTTACATTGCAAAAGGTTCAATTTGGTTCATATACAAAGTTTACAAGCAGTCTTGGTAGAGTATTTTACACAAAAATATTTTTTTGAATACAAACAGCAAAAAAGTTCTAAACAAAAATTTACAAAAACTGATAAAAAATGATGATAAACAAAATCATTAAATGGATCTTCAAAAGAAAAACAGGGAAGGAAAGCAACAATTAGATGTCACAGTTGCATGCTGGCACGCATATATCGGTAGAGTTCCTGAAGTACCCCTTATTGCATACACATCTCGGTCGGCAGACGTTTGCGACCAAAGTGTTGCAAGTGGTCGGTTGGTTATTGACATCTTGACAGCCCTCGGCTAAGCAAGCCGATGGGCAGGAGTCCCACCTTTCATTTGGTCTGGTACATTTCACAGGTGCTGAAAGTAACATACATAGATGAGAAGGGAATTATTAGTCGATTGAAAAACCTAAGGCTGTCTGTCCACTAGAGTGGAAAAGAAGTAACGTAGGTATAGCGTTGTGCCAATATTAACCATTAGAAGGTGTGGTGCTAGAGCCGAGCGTTGGCATAGTTCTACTACGCTTCAGATATCCTAAAAGACACCATTGGTCTTTCAGAGCTCTGTATAATAAATATTAAGTAACATGAATCAGCCAGTCCGATAAAATAGTCGCTTGACTACGGACGGAGCACAAAAAGCACAATCTCTTGCTTTTTGTACAGCTAGCTAATTGCTTCATTGCTTGAGACCTTCGGTCTATCAAGCTACTCTAAATTTGTAGTTTCCATTCATAAAAACATCAGATAGGTAACTAGTTCTTAAAAACCCAGCTACTTACGGCACTTATTGGGAAGAATGCATTTGTCTTCTTGTCTATTGTTCTTTATGTATCCATAATTGCAGACACAACCAGAGTTGCAAGGAGCAAACGGATACGTTTCACAAATGGGCGTAACACGGCTGTCGTCTACTGGACAGTAGTCGGTAGGACAACTGTTCTTACATCCAACAAACATCCCATTGGGACCACAGGGATTTCCACCTAAAATTCCACAAGTATTTTCACTAAAGAAGAAGTCAATGTACCTATAAATCTTATAATAAAGCAAAGGCAATACACAGATTTGGTAACATAATAATTAAGAAAGAAATAAGAAGAAAAAGACAGTAATCTGGCCAGTGCCAATCGAGATTCGAGATGTCCTTTGCAATAGACCCTTAGCATTCTGTCGTAGCTATCAATAAATTAGAGCTAAGTACAAAACTAATTAGTAAACAGTGGTTTCAAAATAAGTAGGTATTTTAGTGTGAAAAATTAATATGCAGCCTAAAATAGAGTAGAAAATGTAAATTCAATTGTCACCGTTTGCAAATGATAGTTTTAATTTTTCTTACCTGGACACGCGTCAGGTTTGACGCATTTTCCAGCGTCCTCCGAATAAATGTATCCTGGGGCACACTCGCATCCGACTTCTATGCAAGCCTTCCTACACGGAATAGAATTTGGTCTGCTACAAGTAGAAGGGCATGGAGCTGGGCATGACTTAATTACTGCATTGGGGTCTCCGTTGCATCCCTCTTCTTTAAAGAAAAAGTAGTTTGTATTAAAAGCTATCATTGGTACTTCATAGGCACTCTATAAATTCTAGTCTAGAGTCTACAATCATGTCAAAAATTTGTGCTTTTTTCCATTCATCACTATTTATGTATAAACCTTAGAAGCTTTGGCAAAAATAAAATGTCGGCTGCAGATGTGGGTTCGAATCTCACAAGGGCCAATGTTGGTAGTTATTATCAATTTAAATAACATTATCAATCGATTTAATATAACACAAGCTTAATTTGGGGAGATAGTGATCGGTGTGAACTTAATTCCATCATTCAAACACTTTTTGCTTGTAAGCATAGAATGGTTGTTTTCAAAACAATAATAAAACTTTTTTAATTTTTATTGTCCTTATCTCAGACATTAAGTGATGTGTAGATCTATAATATTATTATGTTTATGTATTTATGTGTAGGTAATAGGTATGTCTATTATATTCTTATGTATTATTATGTAAGTAGGTATATTAATTTTTGCGCCGCCTTAGCTTCTCGTGATTGACTGGTAGAGAATGCTACTGACATTAAGTCCGCCACTGTACTCTACTTTTGTGCAAAAAGTTTAAATAAATATAACAAATAGTGAAACATACTTGGGCAATCCTCAATCTTGGTGCATTTACTTCCCTTGTGTAATTGAATTAAGCCAGGCTCGCAACATCGTGGTGTTTCAAAACAGTTTGGGTTTGGGTTGGCACACGTCGGTGCACAGTCCGAGGTACAAGCATTTGGGACATCTGGAAATTGCTTCAAATGTACATAAAATCATCAAAGGCGTCTCACTATAGGCCTTATACAGAAGCTCAAAGTTGCACAGCATGCTATAGAGAGGGCTATGCTCGGCGTTTCTTTACGAGATCGAATCAGAAATGAGGAGGTCCGTAAACGAACTAAATTCGCTGACATAGCCCGACGGATTAGCAAGCGGAAGTGGCAATGGGCAGGGCACATAGTACGCAGAACTGACGGCCGATGGGGTAGCAAGATTCTGGAATGGCCGCGTACCGGAAAACGTAGCTTGGGACGTCCACCCACAAGGTCAAAAGGTGGACCGACGACATCATAAGGTGGGAAGCGCTGGACGCAGGCCGCTATCAATCGATCAACATGGAAAACAGTGGGGGAGGCCTATGTTCAGCAGTGGACGTCCTATGGCTGAAATAATGATGATGATGTACATAAAATATTCGAAACATCACAACTTCATCATCATCAGAAGTTGCAGCTTAAGGAACCTACTTGAAATGGAAAATCCTCTTCTTCCTTCATATGGGTTGTAACAACTGAGATCATAGGCTTATGGTTATGGTGTCAGATTTAATGAATACCTAGGTATCTGACATGGCTCAATGGAGACAGTAACAATAACTTTGTCTTAACTCTTCTAGCTATTATAATAACGAATAACACGAACAACATGTTAGTTTTTACGCCGCTCAACCACCAACATTAACACAATTAAAATAAATACACAAATTATACTTCAACCACTTTATTTCAAATCATTAGTTACTTGACAAACGTTATTTCCAAGATGCCCAAACTTCAGTACTTACTACACTCGCTAGCAGGGACACAAATGTCACTGCCATTCCTGTAATGACCCTTCTTACATACGCATTTGGGTTGACAGTTGAGGAGCAGGGTATAGCAAGGGGCAACAGGGTTGTACGCGTTTGAACAGTCTTCACCAAGACAGTCTGAGGGGCAAGGATCCCACACTTCGTTTGGCCTGGTGCAGTCAACTGGAGCTGAAAGGAAGCAATCGATGGAAGATAGTTTAGAATCGCAAGCCATAATGATAAAAGTTTCCTTTAACGTAGAGACGCTATCGCACATGAACTCTAAGGAAATTATGCATTAACAATAATAATCCTAGAAACTATTTAATTGCACTAAATGAGTATCAAGTCAAGCAATCAAGTTTTATTTTAAAAATTCTGTCTTCGTATGGATGGAAGAAAACTAAGTAGGTAGTTCTCAATGTTTCTAAGAATTTAAAACAGAACAAAATATTACTTGATCGATTACTGATTTATAAGTTAAATATGTTCTTAGAATTTTACTTAGCTCCAGATCAATTGCAATATGACAATACTTACGACAATCTGCGGCTTCAATGCAAATATCATTTTCGTAGCTCAATCTCTTGTGGTTGATTTTGCAAGCGCAGCCTGGTGGGCATGGTCGGCCAGGTTTGCAGGCGATCTGGATTCTGCTGTCGTCTTGAGGACAGTATTGGTTAGGGCAACGGAATCCGCAGTCCACGAATGTACCGTTTACCCCACATGGGTTTCCACCTCAAAAGAAAAACATTTTTTAATTACTTCAGTCTTTAAAATTAAAAAATAATACAGCGACTGCACACTACAGATACAACTTTGTTGCAACATCGCACTTGTAACTACATAAGATGCCACAGAGTTTAGCTTGAGCAGTCTTTCCCTTCATTACCTGGACAATCATCAGGTAAAATGCACTTTCCGTCTTTCTTGGAAAATATGTATCCTTCTTGACATTCACATCCTACGGGTCCGCATTTCTTGTCACAGTTCGAAGCGTTTGGTGAATCGCAGGTGGCTGGACACGCCCAGGGGCAGGGTTTGATCCTTGCGTGGGGATCTCCGTTGCAGCTTTGGTCTTCTGCAATATAAGAAGAAAACTTGAATTGAATACTAACTGTCGAATGGTGTTTAATGAATTAAGTCAGGAAAGTCGATCACAATTTGGAAGTTCATGTAGAAATATAAACAAGTATTAGGTAACAAATATTGGTCGTTAAGGAATCTTGGGGATATCAATCCTTGGAGGTCATTTTTATAGATCTGGACGCAGGCCGCTACCAACCGGGCAACATGGAAAGCATTGGGGGCGGTTGTTAGCAGTGGACGTCCTATGGCGAGATGATGATGTTGATAGATCTTATACTCATCATAGGTAGCAGTAAGGTGCTGTATACAGTGCCGTTACCAACCGGGCAATAAATATGGAAATCATGCTTATGTTCAGCAGTGGGCGTCCTGTGGCTGAAGTGATGATGATGATGAGACGTTTCTGGTTGAAAAAAAAGAGTAAAATACAAAAGACGAATAGCTTACGTGGACAATCTTCAATTTTGATGCACTTTCCTCCAACTTCTGATAGAATGTAACCTTCTTGACATTCACAACCGTCTACGTTGGCGGCGGCTGGCGATCTAGATGGGCAGTTTCGTGGATTTGGCACTGCGCACGTCGGTCGACACTTTACTGGAGTCGAGCACTGAACAGCTGGAGCAAAAGTATAAGTGATCGTTAGAATTTTACATGCCCTTTATTATTTTTTCTCCTAAAATGTTTTCAGGTTTATATTTGTTTTTGTACAACTATAATAAGTAACTAAAACAACAATTACCGAAATAATAAAATTATCAGTAATATTCCAAAACTTCTTATTAATTAATTTTCTTTGTAATTGGTTGTAGCTTCAACTTCTGCTAACAAAATGTAACCGAATTTTCATCATTGTTCAAAATTAATTAGCAACGATCTACCTTAAGTTAATCATAAAATTACTATTAAAACATCCAACTTTTAGGCTAGAAATATCAAAACTTTGAGTCTAAAAGCGTTAAACATTTACCTATCTAAAACTCCGTTTTACTTTCTATTAAATTTACTCAACCATGAAAAAACTTCGCTCGGAAATTCAAATAAGCCTTTACATTGCGAACGTTGTAGATCCTGGATTTATTTCCACTTTTCAGTTCTGTGTAGTGCTACAAAGGATTCGGGGCATTTGGTACAATGGAATCCGAAGGCAAAGACATGTTTACCTGCTCTGTAGAGATAACTTGACTTTAAATTGTAACTACGGTATTTATTGTGACTTTTGCTTGGGACTTGGAATAACAACGACCCATTCAAATTTTGCTATGATCCTTATGGACTTAAGTAATTCGAATCACAAAACTGTAACGTCAGTAACACTGGTAATTCAAGTAAAAGTTCTATTTTAAAATAAGTATAAATTCATAGTCCATTTTGTCCAATTCATTATTTTATAGTGGGCTACCTGCTTATAATAAAACAATAACCGAAGTCACTATAATGAGAGTCATGCCTATTTTAATTCAATTTGTACAACAGTTTAATATCCTGAATAAAATAACAGAGACATGGCTTTATTGGAACTTCTGGAAACCCCACTTGCAAACACAGATTGTGAGATCTACGACCGAATACCTCTGTCGCGAGCCTCAAGACGATGCTTGAGACAATAAAGATAAGATTAGTCACGCCCTTTTCATTAAAGCCCATTTAAATGAAACAACAGGCTGATCGAAATCATTTTACTTGGTTCCCTATTGAATGATCAAGAAGAGGTTTGTCTGAATAAACTAAATATTTCTATCTTACCTTTCTTGGTAGTTAGATTTCTCAAATGAATTTAAAAGAAGCTAAGTATTCAGCTATTATAAGCTGTCCAGAAAAAAGTAAAAACGATGAGTCAATAATCAAAATACCTACTTAATTGTTATGTCGACTAGTCTTTTGAATAGTGGAACACAAAGGTCATTAGACCAAATTATGGAAAAGTTTCTATCACTTACGGCACTCAGAGCGTTTAACGCAGATATCAGATGCGTTCCTGTAGTATCCTTCCTTGCAGACGCATTGTGGCATATAGTTGGGGTATGGCCTGTTGCAAGGTTGAGGGTTTGTTGCGTCTTCGCACCTCTCGGCTATGCAGTTGGGTGGTTTAGGATTCCAAACTTCATTAGGTCTGGTGCAGTTGACGGGAGCTAGAACAGACATCTTCGAATGAGCTTCATCAGAGTGCTTACCATGAGTTAACGTTAGTGTGCTCGATAGCGAGTACGTCAAAAAATCTATGAAGATTTTATTTCGTGAAAGTAGCCGCTAGGGGCGCTGCACAATATGTCATACATTTAATGTCATTTTTTTACGCAGTCGCTAGCGAGCACACCTAACGTAAACTCAAGGTAAGCACACAGAATATCGTTCGTTCGTTCGTTTCAGCCGAAAGACGTCCACTGCTGGACAAAGGCCTCCCCCAAGGATTTCCACAAAGACCGGTCCTGCGCCGCTACACAGAATATACTAATATATTAATTGCAAATCATGAGAACCTATATGAAAATGAAATGAAATTCGTGAACCAAGATCTTGTAAATTTGAATACGCAAGATGGACCTCGATGTCAAAGACAACACTAAAATTACTTACGGCAAGAAGAATATTCAATGCACGTCCTGTCTTCATAGCTCTTCCTCTTGTAGCCAGCCTTGCAGGAGCAGCCGGCGGGGCAAGGGAAGGGAGGATCGCAGATGAGGATGCCCCGGTTGTCGTTCACTGGACAGTAGCTGTTGGGGCACTCCACGTGGCAGTTGACGTATTGCTCATTGGTGGGACAGGTTGGCGATCCTCCTGAAAAATGACATGAGTACATACCATATTAACGTGGTCCTCTCTCTGCTGTACCATCGATGAAGTCTATTGAACACATTTGTACCCAGTTTTTCCCAACTTGTATTTTTACAGCATTACTTGATTTTCGGTATGACCGAAAATCAAAATCAATCAAAATGCCAAGTCTTGGTCTAAATTGAATAAAGTTTTTCATTGCCAGCTAGTACCTTCAACAACTCTTTCTTGTCTTAAAAAACTATCTTTGTACCTTTTCTGGTCATTAGAACGCTATACGGCAAAAATAATTAATTTATTTATTTATTTATTTATTTATATTAGGGAAACAAACAATTTTGATATACAGACAAATAATCACACAAAAAATAGGACAGAAATCAGCAAAGTTTCCACAGTTAAAATTAATACAGAGTGCAGACTAAAAATTAATTAAATAGTAATAAATTATACATTAATTTCTAAAACCTCAGCGTAGTTCAGATCACCCTCAGACAACGCCGCCTCATAATCGCAAGTATATACGTCGAGCCCCGCGACGATGAGTCACACACCTTACCAAAGCTTGAATTGCTCCTGCAGTCCCGAAACGATGATGACATCATCATTGGAGGCGATTTGAATGGATGGCATCCCTTATGGGGGTCCTCAACATCGAATCGCAGGGGAAATCAAATAGTAAATCTAGTAAATTCTAACGGATTAATAATATGCAACACAGGTCTCACACCGACCTATGAAACTGTCGCACTTGGTGTGAGACGCACATCATTTATAGATGTAACGATGGTGTCGGATTCCATCGTCGACAAGATTGATAACTGGCAAGTAAAAATCGAAGCCTGTCCCTCTTCAGACCACCACGCGATAGAATTTACTCTGTTACATAATTTGTCTGATATTCAAAGAGTTAAGAGAAAATCCACTTTTAAGTATGATACAAATAACGCGGACTGGGAAGCTTTTCGCCATAAACTAGATCACTTTTTGAATAAGACGACGCTAATAAATACTTCTATCGAGACTTTAAACGAGGATGGTGTGGACGACTTCATTGCCATCCTCTACAGAACCATAACTAAAACATGCGACAAATCACTTCCCCGAAAGCGTGGCAAACTCGCGTACAACCCATGGTGGAGTGATGAGCTGGAAGAACAGAAACGGCTTGTCATCCACCTCCATCATAGAATTCAGCAACTGGCACGAAGTGGCCATAATCTGGATGAGGTGCTACGCGAACGAGCTGAAGCTAAAAATAAGTATGCAGAAATGTTGAGAGAAGCATCTACCACAAACTTTCGAGAGTTCTGCACCCGTCAGGGGAAGGAGGATGTTTGGTCCCTCACCAACCGACTTCTTACCCGAGCACCTCCACCTAAGCCCGCGGTCACTCTTTCCTTTGACGGTGTGCATACTGAAAATAGCGAAGAGACGGCAGCAAAACTATTGGAAAAATTTTATAACGATGATACGTCTGACAGTCTGGATTGTCACAAAATGACTAGGCAACAAAGTCACCACACTCCAAACACTCATAATGATACCCAATTTACAACAGAAGAAGTTATCTCATGCATTGATAGCATGAATCCCAAAAAGGCTCCCGGACCTGACAATTTTACCTCCGACATTATCTCTGCAGTCTGTCATACCTTTCCGGAAATGATTACCCGTCTTTTTAATCGCTGTTTAGAACTGGCATACTTTCCGACCATCTGGAAAGTGGCTCAAGTGATAGCTGTACCCAAACCCACCAAGGATGATTACAATGTGTCGTCATCTTACAGGCCAATAGGTCTTATAAATGTCTTTGGAAAACTGATTGAAAAGCTCATCACTAAACGGCTTACACACCATCTCCACACAAAAGGGTTCATGAACCCGAAGCAATTTGGGTTCAAAGAACAAACTTCTACAGTGAATGCTCTGAATCAAGCTCTTAAAGACATTCAATCAGCTCGACAGGACAAAAAATTAGTGATTGCAGTATCTATGGACATCCAAGGTGCCTTTAACAACGCCTGGTGGCCCAAGCTTCTACAGAGACTCCAACTCGTTGAGTGTCCCCAAAACATATATAAGCTCATTACAAACTATCTAAGTGATCGGACGGTTACTCTAAATTATGCCGACTCTAGCGCTTCTAAGACAATGACTCGTGGATGCATACAGGGCTCAGTCTGCGGACCGAGCTTCTGGAACATCATTTTGGATGAACTCTTCGAGCAGGAGCTCCCCTCGGGGTGCAAACTGCAGGCTTATGCCGATGATGTATTGCTGATCTGCACTGCCAAAGACCTAGTACAACTAGAACGCAATACAAACATCGCTCTAGAAACCATAACAGCTTGGGGAGAGAATGCAAAACTCACCTTTGGCCCTACAAAGACACAAATGATTGGTTTTACCCCGACTGCCCGTAAAGCTCGCATCACCCACCGCGGTATCCGCCTGCAATTTAAAAGTGACATAAAATTACTCGGCATTATAATCGACCAAAGACTAACCTTCACTAAACACGCTGACTACACCATTTGCAAAGCTCTTAAAATTTATCGTTCACTCTGCAAATTTGTTCGCCCCACATGGGGGGTTCATAGCCAAAACATCTCAACAATATACCAACAAGTAATACAACCCATTATAACGTATGCAGCTGGGATCTGGGGTGATGCAGTTAAATTTAAAAAGGTCAGCAGAAATCTCTTGTCTTTGCAGCGTGGGTTTGCTGTTAAGATAATACGTGGTTTCCGTACTGTATCAACTATTGCTGCCATTTCGCTTGCGCAGCTCACTCCACTCGATCTGAAAGTCCACGAGATCTGCATCACCGAACGTGCAAAACTTTCGGGATGCTCGCCATATCTCCCTTCAAACGTCACGCTGCAAAAACCCACACCACCAGCGAAACTTCCTCACCCTGCAGCACGACAGGGCATCACATTCTCTTCGGCATATACTGAACAGGATATTGACAGACTTTGCCCACCTGACGGCACTAAGATCTATACCGACGGCAGTAAATTGGAAGACGGTAAAGTTGGCGCAGCATATGTCGTTATGAAGCCTAACCAAACATCTGTAACTTGTGAACTTAAACTCCACGACAGCTGTACCGTCTTTCAAGCGGAACTATTAGCCATTGAACGTGCCGTCAGATGGATCACGGAATCCAACACCGTAAGATCAACTATTCTCTCGGACAGCCACTCTGCTCTTCAAGAGTTAGCAAATGGGCAAACCACCAACAGCTTGGCAGTAATGACTCACGATCATTTACGTCGACATTCGGGATGCGTGGATTTCGTCTGGGTCAAGGCGCATGCTGGACTTGAAGGCAACGAAACAGCAGATGAGGCCGCAAAAAGTGCAGCGTCTTCTCAGCGAGCTCCCGACTTTGCTAGGTTTCCGATCAGCCACGTAAAGCGCAGAATAAGGGAAATAAACCAACGCCAAGTGAATGATCGTTACATTAATGCTAACACTGGTGCTCTCACCCGCAACTGGCTCCCAAACTTGGACAGCATCAACCAACTCTTCGCTCAGGCGGAACACTCCTTCCACCTGACACAAATTCTTACCGGTCACGGCTATCACCGACAATACTTACATCGGTTCAAGATAGTCGAGACCGATAAGTGCAATTGCGACACAAATGCTGTTCAGGATATACTTCACCTACTCAAAGAATGTCCACGTTTTGCCCGGCAAAGAGTACAGCACATGGCTATATGCCAATACCTTAAAGTTAACCCCTTTGAAATATCGGACCTGTTAAAGAGGGAAAGCGCCATCCAATCATTCATCCAATTATGTAAATATATTGTAAATAATTTAAAAGAATACAATAGTACGTAAGTTAAAATTTTGTGCAATAAATGTAAGTGTACATAAAGTATATATGAACGGTATTTAAATTTATGTATATATTAAAACAAAATAAAAAAGAAAAAAAAAAAAAAAAAAATTTAATAAAAATTATAAAATGTCAAAAAGTTAAATATTAATAAAATTATATAAATTAAAAACACAATAATTATGTAGGTCAAAATTAAAATCAAGTTATATATTCAAACATTCTCTCAATTGTTTTTTATAAGATGGTAAGGAAGAATTAAAAATGTCAATCGTGTTAAACCTATTATTATATTCCTTACAAGATCTAGGTACAAAATTGTTGCTAGCATAATTAGTCCTAGTGAGAGAAATAGAAAAAAGTTTTGTAGAACGCGAACTCGTCCGAGGGCACCTAAAACTAATATTACTTAACAAAAAAGAGGAGTCAACATGGTTATTTAAAACTTTGTAGAGAAAGAAATGAGAAAATTAAGGCCTTAATCACCTGGACAATCCTTTGGCAGCACACACTGCCCATTAGACAGCAAGTACCCGCTATTGCACACGCACCCCTCAGGAGCACAGGCAGCTGGACACGGAGCAGTTTCGACTGGTTTCTCGCAGGTCAGGGGGCAATAAGAGGGGCATTCCTGGAGCGTTGCGTTCCTGTCTCCTTTACAACCTGAGAACATGCATTGCATTAGCCTTTAGTGGATAAAGATAAGCCTTCAAAGTTCATGCTATTATTGTCAATGGGTCTGCATAGGATAATGGGGTCTCTTGTCATTGACCGATTAAGTCTGAGGGATATGAGAAAGTCCGAATCTAACTACCCATACTGCCAAGGTATAAATGCATTGTTCATGATTTAATGGATAAGTTATATCAGTCTTTTTTTTTTAATATTCGCGGCAGGGGAAGACCGCCTAAATGGTGGACAGACGACATCCGGCAGCAGGCTGGAGTGAACTGGATGCGTGTGGCCAGGGACAGAAGTCGATGGAGGGTTGAAGAGGAGGCCTATGTTCGAAGGCCCCCTAAAGGCTGCTATGGATAGAGAGATAGACCGTAAACTAATTAAAGGTGACTATCATACAATTTGGACATCAATATTAGCTATCTTAACTTACTTCCTCTTAAAATGGGTATGGCTACACTGACAAGTTACCTGGACAGTCTTTCGGCAGAATGCATTTCTTTTCATCGGACAGCACATAGCCCGGCTTGCAGACGCATCCATCAGGAGCACATCCTTCAACGCATGCTACATTCAAAACTGGTTGCTTGCAAGTTGGCTGGCACATAGATGGGCACACTTTGTAAGTAGCGTTCCTATCACCGTTACAGCTTGGGGTTGCTGGAATAAAGAGTTTTGTTAAACGAATAAGTAGTAGCATACACTGGAACCCACTCTCTCTCTCCCTCTCAAAATAAACCTCATACTCGTGTATTTCTAGCACTAGTCTATATTTGGTTCAATGGGAGAGTCAAAATTATTCATTTCCTACAACAAACTACACTTGTTGCTTGAGTTGTTACTTTTTGCACTACTTGACCGAGTTCCTGTGTTACTCATAGACATATAATTTTAAAAAAGAGCCATAGAACCGTGACCTGATTTTGGTAGGTTGCCAATAAATTTCTGACCGCATTTAGCCTTCACTTACGTGGACAATCCCTTGGCAGCACGCACTTGTCCCCGGCTAGTATGTATCCCTTCTTGCACTGGCAGCCGGGGGGGCCGCATACAGCTGGACATTTCGAAGGCCCCGACGACGGTCCACATCGGGCCGGGCACTTGGATGTGCAGGTCGTGTAGGTAGCGTTCCTGTCTCCTTTGCAGGCTAAAATATAAAATCATTATCAGGGCGTTTCACCTCCACTGCAGAAGGACGACCCTCTCGAATTTACCAGAGGCAAGAGAGGATTTATTCTTAGCTCAGGCAAGATAATAGTAAAATAATAATTTCACATAATACTACAGTTAGATAAGCTGCATCTCTTAATCTAGCCGAACTACAGAAAATAGTTTCAATGTAATAGATGTAACCTTTAGGTCCAATTTTTGTTGATGATTTTGATGATGAATACGAGGAGCTTTGGGAACTCGACGAAGATCTTTCAGATCTTTCATAGCTTGATGATTCCTCGTCACAGGAAGGAATTGCACCGTCTGCAAACCAAAGTTATAATAATATTATATCAATCAATATCTATGTTTTCACTAAAAGAGGTGCGGTACACAGCACTGGTACATGTATCGTGTAAGTGCAATAAAAATGAGACAAGCATCTTTTCACCAAAGTCGTGTTGTGAGAATAAAATGCAATGAATCACGCACTACTTACACGTTTAAAATTTCGCTGGAAATACAAACACCACGCACGTGTAACCACAACAAATGTTAATTGTAAGTCCATATTTTCCCACTCTTAAACTAAACAAGTGTAGATCACACTGTTGCATTACATTGAAACTATTTTCTGTAGTTCAGTACATTAATTGTACATCCTTAGTATTCTGATAAATGAAAATGGTAAACCATCCGCCACAATGCGAAGTAGATATTTTATGCGCTTATCTATATTTTTATGTAGCACTACGAGAGATGACGTATTTTCTTTTGCTCTCTAATTTACCTTTAGGACACTGGTCTTTAGGGATGCACTTATTATTAGTATCTCTGTAGTATCCATCGATGCACTTGCATCCTTGAGTAGGCTCTTCAGCTGCACACTTGTACAGTCTTCCGATGCTTTCACAAGTCTCTGGCGGACATGACCTCTTGTTATCTGTTTTTACTTCATTCTCGCCGCACAAGACGGTAAACTGGATGGGACCTGGTGGAAGTTTACATTAACGTTTATTTGTATACGATGATTTGATACTTACCAACAATAATTAGTACATAACATAAATGAAATTCTTCATCTTTTTCGTCTTTCTTCTTGGCAGACTGGTCGTGGTTTGAGGCGTTCACGTCGAGAAATGAGATTAATAGTGGAAATATTCATGAATAAATAAAAGTTTGATTAGTCATGCAATAGTTATCTTAAATATCTAGCTGCGCTTCACTTTTAAGATGTTACTGTCTCTATTAAAGTCATCTGCCTCATTTGTTAACAGGACAAAATCGAACATATTGCCAACATTCATTCTACAAAACCTCGTTAACCTTCGTGGCATTGCCTGAAAGTAATCACTCAATCTATACTATCAAATACCAAATTAAACATTCCTACCTGGAGGACACTGCTTAATAGGTATGCAAACAGCATCATTTCCACTTCCATTTCGGAGATAATTGTCTTTACAAACGCATCCTGGTCTTGGCTCTTCCTGGGCGCAAAGGTAGTTCAAATATTGGCTGTCGCAGGATTGCGGGGGACATGTGTATTTTCTATCAGTATACACTTCATTTTCACCGCAAATTGGTGTGGCTGTGAATGTAGATATTAGGCTTTCTTGAATTAATGATGGAAGTGACAACTTTAAAAAGAAGACATGGCAACTTGGCCAAGCAAACTTGCTTGCATGCAACCATAAAAATAGAGCAAATTATGATCCATTTACATATTACGAACAATCCATGCAAACCACCAAACCCAATGCAAATAAGACACATAACGAAAATAGACGATGTGACCAAAACAATGAACTTTAAGTGGCGGTGGTAGAACACAATGCTCAAATAAAATAAAAATAAATGGACAAAGGATATAACAAAAAAGAATCCCAGATTCTAAATAAAAATAAAAAGACAAAGGCAAATAAATGTTCTACTGAGGCCAAAACATAACAACCCCACTACGGCAACGAAAAGCTTAGGAAAGAGTGGATGCAGCTGCTGCCACTTGTTAATAAATTAACATTAATAGCAATAATGTAACGGCAATGGTTATAGTAAAAACACAACCCACCTTCTAGCGCAGTCGGGTAAAAAAAGATGGTTAAGCCTGTAAAAACTAAAACTGACAATAAAGGCAATAAATACTTACAATAATGAAAAATTGCCATCTTATGATCCATGCAAGCAAACCCCTTCACCCGTTGAAAGTCCCTAGAAAAATGTTAGTTGGGCAAATACTAAAGGCAAAATGGTGGTAGAAATAGTTGAAACAATTTTAACACCTGTGCGTTATGTAAAACGATCCTAAAATCATAAAATACTTACATCCCGGGCATTGATCGCTAGGCACACAATTATTATTTCCATCCCTGAGGTATCCGTCGATACAGTTGCATCCAGGCTCTGGCAGTTGGAGCTGACACTCGTATGAAGTGTATATACTTTCGCAAGTTTGAGGAGGGCATTTTATTTTCTGGCTGGAGTATACTTCGTTTAACCCACATGGACCTTGATAAATGAGGAGAAGAGAGGAATGAAAATACCAAGGATACAAAAGCAAGTAAATAAGACATTAGGTATGAGGAAGACGAACCAAAATTAAGGACAAAGATATTGTAATTCATTTAATGTTAACAAAACCCAGGGATTCCAAGTGGTAGATTATTACAATATACAACAAAAGTGGTAGATGACAACCAATGTCAGAGACTCTGTTAGGGAAAAATCTGCCATAGAAAAATCTGAATAGTCCACGGATCATGGGCAAAAATCATATTTTATGTCAAATAACAGTCATACGGAAAGTACTACAGGCTAATAAACCAACTTCGACTAGGAAAGAAGAACATTACTGACGAATAACATACATCATCAAGGTAGGTATACCTTGAGGACAGTCTTCCTGAGCTATGCACTGGCCGTTGCTACTCGAAAGAATATAGCCCGACTTGCACACACATCCCCGAGGCAGACATGCGTCTATGCACAAGTATCCATCTGGAAGCATAGGCTCCTGGCATGTTGGTTGGCATGAAGACGGGCAGTCCTGACGAGTTGCATTCTTATCACCATCGGGACAGCTGTCGTCCACTAAAAAATGAATCTATTGTCATTTTACAAAAAGTAGTAGCCTAAGAATGGCGCCATCAGCATCAATGTTTCTCTTTTGCAACCTTCTTCTGGACAAACTTTCTTTAATGAGTCTTTATAACTGTACTGTTTAGCTTTTGTTATTTGTATGAATTACTCACCGGAAATAAGAATTTCCACAAAATATTTTTTTATGATAAGGTACTAAACTATCTTTTGGGAATCAATTTATCACATGAATTAAAACTCAAAATTCAAATCAAGATGCATTTATTGTGGACACATAAGTGTTCAAACATCACGTACTTGGGCAATTCTGCGGCAGGATACATTTGCCGTCTGACAGCACGTATCCGTATTTACACTGACAACCAGGTGGTCCGCATACGTCTGGGCATGCGACGTCACTCTGTCCACAAGTGGGAGGGCAGCCGGACGTACACATAGTTAACTCCGCGTTCGGGTCTCCGCCACATCCTGCAACATCTATAATTTATTGGTTAATTTTGTGATTAAAATGGAAAATCTAGTGATTTTAATGGAAAATTTTAGTGGTGTCTGTTACTTTTTCTTCTCTGCTGTTGTATCTGTTTTTTCATTTTAGAAAATTTCTCTTTTGACACAGTTGCATGCATATGATTGCGGATGGCTTGATGCCTTTGTAAGGATGTTATATCCTTCTAATTATCCTATCAAGGCATTATTATTAAATTCTGTCCTATTGTTAAAAAAATCTCTACATTTAACAATATTTTTGTCTGCCAGGTCCTTTGTTAGACAAATTGGTCTCCCGTTATCTTAGGTTCTGCTTACGGTTGCGGTGCATAAAAAAGGTATTTGCCAGATAAGACGAAAATTCGGTAAATTAGGACCTACAATGTAGGCTTTAATAAAGCGGAACAGTCTCTAAGAGAGAGTATTTTTGTGATTCGCAAAGCATGTTCAGCGATCAATACTATTGAGCTGTCAGACGATTAAGTTGACTCTTTTGGCCTGATTATTGGCAATTATGAGTTACTTTTGTATACCTGGGCAATTCTCCGGCAGGATACACTTGCCATTAGACAATACATATCCCGACTTGCACTGGCACCCGGGAGGCCCGCATACAGCGGTGCACGCGACTTCCCTCTCTTCGCAAGTAGGGGTACAGCCGGTACAAAAGGATAGTTCCGCGTTCGGGTCCCCATCGCAACCTATAATATCAAATCGTGACTATGTACCCTCGACTTACTTGCTTCAAGATCATAGAGCAACGATCTTTTCTAATAGCAGACACGCTTGTAAATGTTGTAGTACTTATCGAAAATTCTTTATTCATTAGGTACATTCGTGTTTCATGAATTTTGTTAATGTTTTCCTGCGGCTGCTTTTCTTCTAAATCCGAAATTTCGACTCAATTATGTAGATACGTTCATCTTGATCACAGGATCACGAACGTGGATTTTGCAAGGGGTCTACTTTCTCCCCCGAGTAATACGCCAACGTCATCCACCATTGATAAATAATAAACAAATTATTTCAACTAGGTACCTATCCCACCATGTCCCTAAGCCAACCAGTGATTAATCTAATGATCTATCTAAACAATAATGGATTAAAAAATTATGAAAATTTTATGTAAAATCATCTTCCTTGTGTAAGTTTTAGGTTAGCACAGAATCAAACTCAGCCTTTTGTTAGTTTTGGTTAGGAAACGCTCACTTGAAAACATACCTATCACGATCATTGTATTTATACAAACACATTAAACTGTCTCATCTGATTTTGAGCCATGTCAGAATAGGGAGAATATTGGTAATAGATCTTGATACTAAGAATTTGATCAAGCAATTAATTGACCTAGGTACTTCAAAGTAAAGGGAGAATGATGCTTGGAAGTCTTGGAACCCTAAGTGGTCGCATGAGACCGCGATAACACTTGGTTTCTATTGTGTATCTATTCACTGGTATTAGTACCAGAGTGGGTACCCTTCTAAAAGGATTAAAGTGACTTTGGCATACCTGGACAGTCCTCCTTTAGGATACACTTGCCCTCATCAGATAGCACGTATCCCGGAAGGCAAGCGCAGCCGATCGGTCCGCATACTGCTGGGCACACCCGGTCATTCGGCGTGCAAGTGGCCGGACAGCCTGTGGTGCATGTTGTTACCGTAGCATTTGCGTCTCCATTGCAACCTGAACACGTCAAATAATAACTATATTGAACTGATATCAACGGTCTGATTTTCTCTCAAAGCAGACACTTTAAATATTGCATGGTCCAACCTGTAGGACTGATCAGTTAGGAGATATTAAGGTTAGCAGCAAATGCGCACACCAAAAATATTAGAAAAGGCTTTGTGTAAAAAAACAATTTGGAGTCATATCATCATTTCTATCTATCTATCTATAGCAGCCTTTGGGTTCGCCTTCGAACATCGGCCTCCTCTTCAACCCTCCACAGACTTCTGTCCCTGGCCACACGCATCCAGTTCACTCCAGCCTGTTGCCGGATGTCGTCTGTCTACCGTCTTTCCATCACCATCATTTCTACTGCTCTTTTAACTGCTGCAAATAAAATCCTGTATTTCAAAAATACGTAGGTGACTTTGATACCTGCTTTTGTACGGTTCTTTTACGATAATCTCCACGGCTCCTAAACTTATTTCTACCAGGGAAACAAATTACGGAGCTAGATAAGTGTTCGCCTAACCTGGAGGGCAGTCTTCCACTGCTATGCATTTGCCGTCAGCCGACAGTATGTAGCCCTCCTTGCATACACAGCCGCGGGGCAAACACGCTGCAGGACAGATTTCTCCAAGCACTGGTCTTGAGCATGTTGGTTGGCACCACGACGCGCACTCTTGACGCGTTGCATTCCTGTCCCCGTCGGGACAACTATCGTCTCCTCCTAAATCTATTCATAAATCATAGATCGTCATTGAGACTATGGTTTCCTAAAAGTTATCAATCAAATGCTAGATTAAAGGTACACTTATCAACACTGTATCGCCTTCGTAAGGAGTTTCATAGAAAGAATATTGAGTTTAACTTTCCCCCCGGTACAAACTTGACCTTCATTGGTTGGGTTTTTATGGCGGTCAAGCTGTAAATCCTGGCTACACAGGAGTTGCAGTGGTGAGAACGAGAGGTGGGAATAGTCCCGTAAAGAATATTGACCGTCTCGAGTTGATACGGGTACGGTCCGTTTCCGGGTTGATAAGTGTGCTTTGTCCTTTATTCATACTTTACAACTTCACCTAACAGAAGTCAGAAAGTAAGAAATCCAAGTAAAGCTACATCAATGGAATAAATAAAGTAATTCAAATTGATCTGATGAAAGACTATCCTGTGATCCCAAAGAGTACATTCCATCAGTTTCAGTTAGCTCTGTTAAGCTTCAACTACACCAACGAGTGCAAACTTAAATGTCACAGAGACGTAAAGCAATCCAAAGTAGATTCTTACTGGGGCACTGATCACTGGGTATACAATCGCCAGTGGAGTTCCTCAAATATCCATCAATACAGATGCAGCCTGGCTTAGGGGGTGGTTGGTTTTCGCAGTTGTACAATGACAAGATGCTGTCGCAGGTTTGAGGCGGACATTCATATTTTTCTTGTACAGCAATTTCGTTCAGGCCACAGGTTGGAAGTACTGGTGCTAAAACAAAAATAGCTTTTTAGTGATGGATGTTCATCACAAACCCTACTTTTTGTAAACGCCCGTATTCACAAACGATGCTTGCTTATGTGAAGCAGCAAATCGAACGCATAGCGTTGAATAGAGCTCTGTGATTGGTTCGTATGTGACCCTATGCCTCCACACGCACTGTGAGACCACATAGTAATGTTTGTGAATACGGGCGAAAGTTTATAATTCCGCAGAACACACTTTGTGTACGTATTCCGTTTTTTCTGTAAAATTAAATGAGATTTGAGAAATTCTATCCAATAGTTAGTGGGAAATGTTGGAAATACATTAAGATTGATTTTCTGGTAAACCTTGCAACTGAATGATGATGTATGACCTTACTAATACCAAAAGTAAAACAAGAGTTTCTTACTCAAATCAGGGCACTGCTCGCTCGGTATACAAATATTGCTGCGGTTTCTAAGATAACCGTCGATACAATTGCAACCTGGCTCAGGATCACGAGGGGGGCAGTAGAACGAACCATAAATACTCTCACAGGTCTGGGGCGGGCATACTATCTTGTCCTTTGATGCTACTTCATTCAGACCACATTCTAAACTGGGCGCTTAAAAGGGCAAAAATTAGTTCAGATTACCCATTATTTTATTTATTTTATTTTGTTTAATTCAGAAAACAAACAGCTTACAAATATTTAAATTGCATAGATACGGTGTAGTTGGTCAAAGCCTATAGTTTTCACCTCTATATAACCAAGGGGTATAAAATTTAACAAATTTTAACTATACGTAGAAGTATTAGGTACGTTATTATTACCCAAATTAAAACAAAATGTTACAATTAAATGAATGGTGAAGTTTGCTTCTGACGAACGAATAAAGCCCCATGTTTCAATGGATTAAGAAATACGAATAATAATCAAGTTTTTGAACTATAGAAAAATTACCCTGGTCACAAGTCTAAATAGTTTCTGGCTCTTTAGAGTCCTCTGAAATTCGGAGATGTTGCCCATAATATTTTTGTATGTAGATTTGGATGTTTATTGAAATATGTTACATAACAATGGACTCACGACATTGATCTTCAGTAACACAAGGTCTAGTTGCATCATCATTTAGCCGCATGAGGTCACCCGCGCACATGCACCTCGAGTAAGGTTTGCATGCGCCCATTATATCAAACACCTTACGATTCGCACATGTCTTGTCGCAGGCGTTAGAGTCTTCCACGTAATACTCGTTTTCGTTACATGTAGGTGCTATGAATGAAAGGTGTTAAAATATGAGTGCACTGAGAGAAAGAACCGATACTATTCTAACCCCAACAATAATTAGATATATGTTTCGTCAGGAATGGCTAACGTATCGGCAAAATTACCTAGTACCAAACTCAAAGATATAGGTGGCTGTGCCACTTTTATAATAAAATCTCTTGTAACTGCAAATTTCTGCGGGCTGGAAGACGTAGTGTGGGCAGGCCTCCTACTAAGTGGACCGATAATCTGGTAAAGGTCGCGGGAAGAACCTGGATGCGGGCAGTGCAGGACCGTTCATTATGGAAAACCTTGGGGAGACCTTTGTCCAGCAGTGGACGTCATTTGGCTGAAACAAACGAACTGCAAATTTACTACATAATTTAACTATAAACTCACGACATTGATCTTCAGTAACGCAAGGTCCAGTTGCAACATTATTTAGCCGCATAAGGTCACCGTTGCACATGCATCTCGATGCAGGCATGCATGGACCCATCAAATGATAGATTTTACGGTTGGCACATGTCTTCTCGCATGCATAGGAGTCCACAACATAATGCTCGTTTTCGTTACAACATGAAGGTGCTATGAATGAAGTGATAAAACGTGCAATTAATAAAATCTTACGGTGAATGTTGATATGAAATGTTAATGGTAAAACAATACGTAAATTAAATTCATACGTTATTTACCTTCTGCTTTTTAGTTAAATAGCTTTTACTGCTGCTTTTCTTCTTAGTTCTTGCAACTCACGAAGGTGAGTGAGCTTTACTTGTGCGTGTACGTGTACATAACGATAGTGTAATGTCTATCAAAACTTTTGAAAAACGTAACAGTAGCGAGCTACCACACATGTAAAGCTCACTCTCCTTCGTGAATTGCAACAACTACTGTTTTTCTTATGAATAAGGGCGAATTATTCTCTTGAATCTCTCCGGAAAACGCAGCGTGGGACGTCCACCCACAAGGTGGACCGACGACATCATAAAGGTAGCAGGAAGGCGCTGGACGCAGGCCGCTACCAACTGGGTAACATGGAAAGCATTGGGGGAGGCCTATGTTCAGCAGTGGACGTCCTATGGCTGAGATGATGATGATGGTGATGATTCTCTTGAATGTGTAGAATCAAAGAATATTTACTGATAATAATGACTAGATTTATGACTCTACCTGACTCAAAAAAAAAAGAATTCCCAGCACCGAACATTATGTTTAATATAAACATCATGTATATAATATATGAATTATGAACTCACGACATTGATCCTCAGTAACGCAAGGTCCAGTTGCATCGTCATTTAGCCGCATAAGGTCACCCGAGCAGACACATTTCGAGAAAGGCCTGCACGCACCCATGGTGTCATAGTGCTTACGGTTCGCACACGTCTTCTCACAAGCGACGGAATCCACCACGTAATGCTCGTTTTTGTTACATCTAGGTGCTATGAATGAAAGGTGATGCAATGAGCGAGAAATTCCCCAGGAGTCAGTGAGTAGTAGAGGAAAATGCAAAATGAATTTTCTATGCAATTAATGTGAAAACTGATCTTTCTTCAGTCCATTTTTGTTTTTAACAAATCTTTAGCCAAGAAAAGAATAGGTAATTCAGTATTACTAAGTAGTTAAACTATCATGAAAATTTTAAAAGAAACCAGTTCGAAAAACAAGATGTTTTTGCAATGTAGTAGCTGTAAAAACATCTTGAAACAAACTGTTTAATAATGCAATTAGGTACTTCTACATTTTCCATTTTAATAGGTATTTCAATTGTTACCAAGTAGGTACGAGTATAATAGGTACACCTACATGGTTAACTTAATATAAATCGGTACCTATATAGATACATTTTCAAATAATACTTGTAATGACGTCCATAATTTTCACTGTCAGTAAGTGGATTATACAAAGTAAAGAAACAAATATTTGATTTGTACCCATTAAACATCTGGCGATTTAATTGCTGTGTTCATACTAACTTACCTATATTCGTGACTATGAAACGTGACTGGTAGACACACATGTTTATGATGTTCAAATCATTTAAAGACATTGAACAAGTTTGAATAGGTATAATAAAATCGTCTGATGAACATTTAACTAATAAGAAGCAGCCTGTGTTCAGCCGAGGGCTAAAGTAGTGTAGGATGATGATGAATTATTGAATAGCGAATAGCAAGTGTGTAGATGCGTTTTATTCGAATAAAATGTAAAATGAGATTAATCATAAATGAGATGGAGACAAGATTGCAATCCCGTGTCAATGGGATACACAGATTATAGTGAGCAGGTATGGTGAGAGAGGTAACCACAATAAGTTCAAATTTCACAGAATTTGTTTATGACATCTTGAATTTTTTTTTCATAAATAAAAAAAAACAAATCGACGTCTTCGAATAATCTACATTAAAAAAATAAGACAAAAATTGGAAGAGATTCTTAATTATCTCCATTTTTTGGAGTCGGTTAAAAAGAAAAAAAAATTTTATACATATATACTTACGTTTGCACTTCGGCTTTTTCTTCGGTGGCGACGTGCCAGCACAGAAGCTCAGTATCGCGAACAGAATAATCGTCTTCAGTAACCACGCCATGCTTGCGTCTCTCCTCTCCACACACTAAGTTTTTTCCGAACAACTAGTCGCCTTTATAATGTCGCCACTTAGCATAATCAAACAAAATAATAAGAACATAATGATAAAAAAATATCAAAGCAAGTTGAATGAAAAGAAAGAGCGCACTTGTGCAAATATTCAAGTCAATAAATTATTTACAACAATAAATAAGTACAGGTGGATTCGCAGAAAATTTTGTTTTTTGTTTTTAGCGTATTAGTTGATTAGCCGTGACCTCTGTTAAGGATAATTAATTGTATTTTCTGTACCATCTTAATAATAGAGCCGACCGTACCTAATTTATAAATAACAGTCTAGTTTTTAGAGCAACAAATTAGATCCTGGGTTCGGTTCTCTGGAGCAACAGAATAAAAATCTTTCATGAAGTTTTTGTTTATTTAAACATTATTAACTATTATTTACTATGTAGTATGTACGGTTCAAAAATAAAACTTTACCTACGAACTTCCACGTAGTCGAAGGGACATCCTTCCCGTAACTTGATTTACTATCACAGAATAAGTAATTATTAAAATATTTGTGTGATAGAATTGATTCTCACCAAATTGAACTAACTGAATTTGAATTTGAACTAAGGTAATCCGACCAAGCACAAATTTAAATACGGGGAATCCCAGCAAACCAGTACAAAAGGTGTTAGGTAATGAATGAGTCATCATACCTACATTATTTTACTATTATAAAAGGGGTTTCCCCCAGTTCCTAGCAAAGTAACATTACGTGCGACAAAAAATAATAAATTTTGTATGTGAGTGAACTACATAATTTAAGTTAAAATATTTTATGGTAACAACAGAAGAAAATGTTCTTAATTACCTATTTTGGTCCTTTGTTATTTACTCGTTAAAATTGTAAAGAACATGTTTTTCAACTTAGCATAACTGATGTATTTAATTAACTGTATCTGTTATTCATAATGCAAAAAACATCTGGCATCTGTCTGTAATAAATCAGTAGGTATTATTCGTTAGTAACTAAGGCGTGAAAATGCTTTCTTCTTTTATTGAAAAATAATAACTTGTGAGAGATTCCCATAAATAGATCGTTACATCCACGAAGACGCGCCCCACCATTCTTCCACTAATGTTTGAGTGTTATCTGTACACGCTAAATTATCCATGAGTGCACACGCACACTACAATAATGACACTCGGATTGCTCGGATCAAACTCCTCGCACCTCGGGCTTCCCTCGACCACAAAGTGGTGGGGCGCGTCTTTGTGGATGATACAATCTTTCCTTCCTGAAGCTTTAATTCAGTATTTTAAAGTTTAATCAGTGTGAGACGTGAAATTAGTTACACCAGTCCCAAGTACAGTTTCTTAATAGAAATCCGTCCTAGTCCTTTTAGATCCAGCTGCAGACATTTTATTGAGGCCTGCTGTTAATTATTTAAAGCGGTTTTAGGCCCGAAACTTGGGAGCGTAACCTCATGTTGCATCTTTGTCGTAAAGAGCTTAAAGTGTACCTTTTAGAAATGTCTGACCCATGGCTAGGGTTGCCGGATGACCGGGATTGATGAGATTCTCCCGACTTTTGTATTTACTTCCGTATCAAAGTCAAAGTAAAAATCTCCCTTCCCTGCTTTAGAAAACAACAATTTTAAACCAGGCCTGTTCATCTCTGCGAGTTTACATCGCACGCGTATTCTTGTGTATGATGGAAGAAAATAAAGATAATGGTGTACTAAATACTGTGCAGTATTTAACTGCCTAAATAATAATAAAAACACAGAATGTACTTTTTTAAGTTGCCTCAAGACACTAAGAGGTAAATAAGTAGTTAATATTATTCATGATAATTCATGCTAAATCAAGTAACTATATCCTCCGCCATTTTCCGCAGTTTGGCACCTCACGTCACATCATTTTACCGAAGTCAGCCCTATAGCTTCGGCGCAGTGCCGATCACTGACGTCTGTCAACAAAATGGTGCTTGACTCTTGAGACAGGCTAAATTACACCATATTGTTAAAGACATTGAGCGTACATTTTTTTAAATACCTTCGCGAAGTAAAACTTCTGTACGTAGTACTTATTATTATTCTGTGGTTAAACTAAGAATTACAGAATTTCGTCAAGCGAACGTTCTGCATTTTTTTTCGGGGAAAAAATGCATTGAATTGCATACCTACCTGCGGGGACAGGGTAGGTTATGTGGGGCTCACCAAGTCAGAAGGACAAAGACATACCCACTAAAAAGACCCCGGTGCTCCGTCATTCGCCTTAAGTGGGAAGGAACTGTGGGATTCCGGACAAAGCCTTCACTACCACAGTCCCTCCCGGCGATTGCCCGCCTACACGGCGGGCCCTACAGGCCCCCCAGGACGGGGGGCGATGGGAGCAGCTAGGAGCACACAGCTGTTCCTGCCCGACGGTGGTGGTGGCCTGTGCAATGCAGGCGAGGGCGCCCCCACGCCCCCGGCCCGCTGGCCATCACCGAGGAGAGGAAACTGGAGACGATCATACTGTCGCCTCCTCTGACCCCTCCGCCGTCGGCGGAGCGATGGCGCGTTTGGATCATCTTCGCGCTCTCGCTCCGCGGGAACGTTCTGCATCTAGCTTAACCTGTGAAAGAGAAATGTACCTAATACAAAATAAATGTGAGAAGTTAGAAAATTAACTAAATGCTTTTATTGTAATATCCTGGGAAAATGATTTTCCTTTTTTTTGTTATTTATTTTTAAAGATGTTTCTATCGGAAGCGCAGCGAAAATTGTAACAGTAATTTTAAATGTTGCTGTTGATATCTAAATTTAATTTGATTTTATTTTGTTCCCATTTTCCTGAGTCCCAAAATCCCGAAGAATTGTTTTTTTATACTGATAAATAAATAGGGTCATTCGATTTGGCAGCCCTACCCAAGTACCCACGGCCCTTCTAAAGGACCGAACAAGGTGGGTTATAGTTAATTATTCAATGGTCTTGCTTTATTCGCTCGCTCTAACGGTGCTTTTATTTTTGAGAACATATTTTAGATGATGTGGTCTTTGCTTCAATTAAATATGTTGAAAATTCAGTTACATGCTCTCACTGAAATGAGGAGAAGAGTTATTTGAAACTAAATCTTCGCCTTAATTAACCAGTATGAGTAAATATAAGTACTTAGGTAATTAGCCTATACCTTTTCCCTAAATTGACATAATACAGGAAATAGGTATTTTAATTCATCAGTCTCTTATCTACGCTTTAATTTGTAAACAAATTCGACTCAATTACCTACTCCAGATCAGTTAAATTAGGTTTTAATTAAGTGATTTTGGGAACAACTCGAATTCTTTTGCTACCGAAGGCAAAAGAAATACATGAAAAAATGTTTAGGTAATTTAAGGTAATTTCCCTTTATGTGGGATCTTCTAACTGCCTATTTTATTGACTTTGGAGGTCATCAGCCGTACTGTTTTGGGAACACTGTAGAACTGGATAAAGATATCTTAGGCGTTTTCTATAGGCCTTATCGCGTTTAGTTTATGGGTCCTATTTATTAGTCCTTCAAATGAGAAGGAGAAAATTATGAAAGTACATAATAATACTTAGAGTAGGCGCACACCGTTGATTTTTAGTTGGCCGATAGTTGTGCCTGATTTTAAATTGTATGAAGAATCGGCCAAATCGAATCGGCGTAGTGTGCGCACTCCCATACATGCCCATACTGATCAACTGCCCGACTAAACTATCGGCCGGCCGATAAAAAATCAACGGTGTGCGCCTACTCTTATAGTTCGATAAAATAACTGTACTGTCTAAATTATAAGAATTCTGGCCGTCTGCATTCGTTCGATTTGCCCATTTAGGCAGTGTCAAGTAAAATCTTTCCGAGTTTTTAAAACGAACTTAAACCTACCACAATTACAAATACATGTTCCTAGCTTTGTATCTTGTAGTGAGTATAAAATCTAAACATTGAAGCCTTTTTTTAAAACGGGTTACCGTCGAAATAGGCGACCTCTTTCCTCCAAACAATAGCCGCAGCGAGATTAAACAGCTTTTTCGTTTTTCCCAACTTGAGTTAGTACGTACGTTACGTAGAATTTTACATTTTCCGGCGTTTCTGTAATTTTGCACGATGTAACACTCACTCGGGACTCGCACAAAGAGATATTAAATTTAAAAATTCAGGGGGCGAGATTGCTAGGAGTTCCCGAAAATATTTGAGGAGACTTTCAAAGGGTTACGTGTTATGAGGTGGGTGCAAATACTTTTTGACAGAAGCTACTGTTCAGTGGTATTCTAAATAGTCAAACGTTTCTACGATCTGTATTGCGAGTGCTTATTTTAGATATTTATTTTGCGTTCTTTAAAAAGATGTAGAATTTGATTGATTTTTTCTTGATACTGCAGCTGCTCTACATTCTAAGCAAATAAAACTGGGAGTACCTACTTATTAGTGTTGAACCCATGCGAACAATATTTAATATCAAAGGGGTGCGTTACCTAAAGGTTTAGCGCCCAACTCAGTTGGTGCCTAAGGTATGGGACATATTATGACGTGACAGAGCATATAAATCTGAAGGAGACTTGAAGATTTTTTAAAAGATTTTTATCAATTTGTATTGTACAACACAACAATTTCATTGACGTTTGACGTAACAAAAACACCCTACCGTGCCGCTCCCATACGTGTGGCTTAACACTGGCCGAGTTAAGTGCTATTTAATACCATATTGCTATTTAATATTTAGTACCAATATTTAGTTAATTCTCAAGTTTAATTTTCAAGTCATTTGTGAGCGTTTGTTTCTCTAAATAAAGGAACAACACATTAAGATAATAATAAAAATTAATTTATTCCACGAAAATATTAACAATCTATTAAAAAAATTATATTACACATTCATTTTCACAGTGGAATAAAAATTATATTAAAATTTACAATTCATTTACAAAGGATAGAATAGGTAGGTAACATTTTTATTTATCTAGCCAATAAAATAATTACATACAAATGTTAAAAGACGTATCAAAAATCATTTTATAAAACTTTTGGCACAAATCCGC